CATGATTATGGGAAAATGTTTTTCCTTTGTTTTTCCCTTCTGACATAAACTCCTCAGTTGTTACCCTATTACACAGGACTGGACAGAAATTCAAAATTATTGTTTTATATTTTTCTGTAGCCTTACCAAATCTAACTCTGTTTTGCATGTATGTTAAGTATTCTTCCATATCATCTTTATAATATATTAAAGTTTTTTGTCTTTTAGTAAAATACATATTTCTAAGCTAAGTCTTGCTAAGAAGGCCTGAAAAATTGGAGGAGAATTAAGAGATTATGGGAACGCAGTCAGGTCAAGTTTAATAGATAAAGTTGTTGAAAGACATAACAGAGATAATATCTACAACAGTATCTGCTACAGTGTCATGCTCAGTAAGAATTTATTGAATTGCCGTCTGACAGTTTACTTTTTCCTCATCTGCATGTAAGGATAACAAGCCTGCCTCAGTTGTTGTGAGGATTAAATGAGAACATGCATGTGAAGTACTTAGAACAATGTCTAGCACTTTGAGAAAGCACCCATAGAAATAGTCACCTTTATTTTATTTTTTAAAAATTTTATTTATTTATTTGAGAGAGAGTGCACGCACACAAGCAGGAGGAGAGGGAGAAGCAGGCTCCCTGCTCACAGGGATCCTAATGCGGGGCTCCATCCCAGGACCCTGGGATTATGACCTGAGCTGAATGAAGGCAGACGCTTAATGGAATGAGCCACCCAGGCTCCCCTCGCCTTCATTTTATTTTTATTTTATTTTATTTTTTTAAATTTTTAAAAAAGATTTTATTTATTTATTTGACAGAGAGAGATCTCAAGTAGGCAGAGAGGCAGGCAGAGAGAGAGGAAGGCAAGCAGGCTCCCTGCTGAGCAGAGAGCCGGTTGTGGGACTCGATCCCAGGACCCTGAGATCATGACCTGAGCCGAAGGCAGCGGCTTAACCCACTGAGCCACCCAGGCGCCCTAACCTTCATTTTAAATTATCCTGTTTAGGGGTGTTTGGGTGGCTCAGTTGGTTAAGCATCTGCTCAGGTTATGATCCCACAGTCGTGGGATCGAGCTCCAAGTTGGACTCCGTGCTGAGTGGGGAGTCTCCTTCTTCTCCTGCTACCCGCCCTGCTCATGCTTACTTGCTTGCTCTCTCTCAAATAAAGAAATAAAATATTTTTTAAAGATTAAAAAAAAATTATCCCACTTAGCAATATTTCAAAAAGTTGGAGGCAAGGAATGAGAAAAGGGTATATGAACTGCTATTTTTTATATATCTTTACAGTTTTTATATGCATTTTGTGTAGACTATTTTTTAAAGCAGTTTTAGGTTCCCCGCAAAATTGAGCGAAGGTACGGACCTGTCCCATCTTGTCACTGCCCTGGCATGTGTGTAGTCTCACCCTCACCCACGATGTCCCCCAGCGCCGGGGTGCTGCATGTGTTCTAGTCCTCGAGCTTACCACGACGCTTCATTGTCATCCAGAGTCCCCAGTTTACGTTAGGGTTCACTCTGGGTGCTGGACGTTCTGTGGGTTTGATTTATATGCATTTACTTTTTTAAAGACTTGTTTATTTGAGAGACAGAGAGCACGACGGGGTGGGGGGCAGAGGGAGGAGCAGGCTCCCCACCGAGCAGGGAGCCCAACGTGGGGGCTCAGTCCCAGGACCCTGGGATCATGACCTGAGCTAAAGGCAGATGTTTCACCGACTGAGCCACTCAGGCGCCCCTGCGTTAATTACTTAACAATATAACATATTCTTGTGCTTATATATAGTCTTTACAGGCCAGGCGTGCTACAAGATTATTTTTTATTACTAAGATAACCATCTCTTAAAGAGTGGTTTAATAGAGAAAAACTATACTTTGAGTTGTATGTCCGTTCACATCCTGACTTGTAACCTCTCTGTCTCAACTTTCTCATCTCCAAAGCAAGGATAACTGAAGCCTGGCATCCAGTCCTTAGAACTATTTGGAAACTTTAAGGTGCATGGAATGTTGGATGGTATTATTACTGTGGAGAGAATGGTGATCTCTTTTCTTTTACCCATCTTTTTTGTATCTTGAGAGCATCAGTTCTCTCCTACACCAAAAAGACTTCACAGACAGGGAAGCAGAGAAAATTTTATCTAAGAGAAACCATCAAAAGACCTGGGTTCATATGTGAAACTATAGGAATTTAAACATTGTTTAGAATTTCACAAGGATGAGATTGCATGCGGTGAATAGAAAGCATTTACATTAAAATATAGATACTTGAGTAATGAACATTGACAGACTTAGTGTTCCCAAGGGGAGGCTGTGCTAAGAGCTGCAGGAGAACAAAATATGGAGCTGCCTGGATTGCCGGGAGCCACAGCCTTGCCACGGAAGTGCGTCCGTTTAACATTTTTGTTGTTCGAGCTCTTCCCATCTGCAGCAGTGGACTTGCGTCCAGTAGTCATTTAGATGTTTTTATTTCATAAATGAGACTGTCAGCAGACTACCCTCCAATGTATTTCCTATTTTCCTTTGAGTTGTGGTCTTTAAATTATAGTAAACATGTAATTTAAAGGGCACCAGAGGCTTCATCCTAGTTTTTATCTCTAAAATGGTAAGGACTCACTTAATTGGCCCCTGTCTCTACAGAATAACTGATCAAGGATGTCTAGTATGTTTTGTCTAGACTGTATTATTGTTTGTTAACTAGACGGATGTGTTTATCAGCAGCTGATTCTGTAATGTCTTATTTTTTCCAATTTTATCTTTAAAGTAATTTCCTGTAATGCCTTGCTTAATGCTGCATATATTGTAGGTGGTCAGTAAACACTTACTGATTAAATAAAAGAAATTGGAAATTAGTGACATTATATCATTTGTTCTTATTGTTTTGTGCACCTTTTTAGAAGTAGGGATGAAGGAGCTATTTTTTATTGCAAAAGTAGTACATTCTCCAGCTTTGCTAAGGAAAAGCAGCCTGATCTAATGATTTTTTTTTCCTTAGCTTCTTCCCAGATTTCTTTTTAAAGTAAACCACAAGGGGTTTGGGGGGATGGGGTAGCTGGGTGATACACATTGGGGAGTATGTGTTATAATGAGCACTGGGTATTATATAAGACTGTTGAATCACAGACTTGTGCCCCTGAAACAAATAATACATTATATGTCAATTATTAAAAAAAAGTAAAGCACAAGCTGCAGTATAGTGAGTGTGTGGACTGATGCGTAAACGAATGAATGAAGTATTTTGTGATAAATATAATTTGAATGAGTTCTTAAAGTTGTGTCTGCGTATTTCCATATTCTGTCGTATTATGACGGTGTGCTGTGTCAGAAATGGAAACACTCAAGTCAGTAGCACTCCTCATTTCTGAGGATGAAGGATTGGGGGATTGTATGCACTTCAGAAAGGGCTGGATGTGGGTATTGTCATGGCGCGCTACGTGCCACGGGTACTCGGTACTCGGTGACTACGGCATGAATGTGCGCGCGCCCACCTGCCCTCCGTGGGGATGCAGTGTGTTCTGAAGACCAGAGCTTCAGCTCCTGCTGTGTAAGAGAATCCATCCGATCCTGAAGCCAGACACATGGGTTTTAATTCTAACTTTGCTCTTCATTTAAACTTTGTAATTTTGGACAAACCATCACACTTCTTCCAGGTTCTCATTGGAATTCCTCAAAACAAAATGAAAGAATCGAGCAAGAGGAAGTAGATGATCTTTAAGGTTTTTCCCTCTAATGAATGCTGTACAAAATCTTAACACCTGGGGCACCTGGGTGGCTCAGTGAATTAGGCCTCTGCCTTTGGCTCGGGTCATGATCCCGGGGTCCTGGGATAGAGCCCCATATCAGGCTCTCTGCTCAGCAGGGAGCCTGCTTCTCCTCTCTCTGTCTGCCTGCCTCTCTGCCAACGTGTGATCTCTTTCTCACCCTCTCTCTCTCTGTCAAATAAATAAATAAAATCTTCAAAAAAAAAAAATCTTAACACCTGACCCTTAACTGAAGCTCTCCACATTCACAAACCCTCTTACTTCCTGCTTTAAAAAGGCATAGGGTTCAGTGCCCGCATCACACTCTCCACTCGTGGTTTGCTCTCTGGTACGCCCACACCTGTCTGTTCCTACCAGGTGAGTGAGTCATTGCTTTTCAAGAGCCTCTGTTTATCCTAAAACTGTTTATGCTGGTTTTACATGTTTTTGTATTTATGTCATTTAATTTAATGTTACAGTAAGTAATAAAATAAAAATATAAAGTGATTTTTATGAGAACTACTTTAATGAAGTGGATTTTAAAAAAAGCCTGCTGAATTGGATATAATGAGACAAGTGAAAAGATGAGGGGAGGTGCTAGAAATCTAGGAGGATTCTGGACTCAGATTGCTGTGCAGGAACCTAAGCCCTTAGCACTCAGAAAAAACTGAAAGTGAGCATTTCAGTTTCAGCTTTAGGTGGTGCAGTAATGACCAAATCCAGCTGATGATCCGTACTGAAAGAAAAGGACTTGCTGTAAGAAACAGCTAATGAATATACTTTATATGCTTCGTGTTGAAATAAAAGATTACCTCTTTTAATGATTCTCCACTTGAAAAAATCAGCATCTTTGGTTGTGGACCAAAGTCCCATTAGGTGAGAGGGCTCTTACTGCCCTGTGATCTCCATCATGTTGTAGGTCTTTTAAAAAGTGACACCATAGTGGGAAGCCTGGGTGGCTCATTTGGTTAAGCGTTTGCCTTCCGCTCAGGTCATGATCGCAGGGTCTTGGGATCGAGTCCCACATCAGGCTCTTTGCTCAGCAGGGAGCCCGCATCGCCCTCTGCCTGCTGCTCCCTACGCTTGTGCGCTTTCTCTCTCCATCCGACAAATAAATAAAAGTCTTTTTTAAAAAACTATTAAAAAATAACATGGTAGTAGTAATTGTCCTTTTTTAGGTCATAGTGGTACTTTTAACTTATATGCCTTCTGTTCCTATGGGATCTATGTGAAACACTCTTCTCTCTATCTCATATTAAAACCCAGTTTTAATTCTGTTTTCTTCACAGAACATCCAGAAGATTCTTGGCCTTGCCCCTTCACGAGCTGCCACCAAGCAGGCAGGTGGATTTCTTGGTCCACCCCCTCCTTCTGGGAAGTTCTCTTGAAATCAAGAACCCTGTAATTCCTGTCATTCTTTTTAAACATTCAGATTAGACTGGCAACTATTTTGTAGCAAGAACCATAGACAGCCTTAGCACTTGGGCCACTTTCTAGTTCTGAGTTATTTCTAGACTTTTTGGATATGATTCAAATGAGAATGGCACCCAGCAAGCACGATAGTACTTTCTGTCACAGATTAACTTTTAGAAAAATAAGTTTGTTGGTTAGATAAGTTCAGGCAATATTTATGTAATGAGAAACAAATAGCATCTTTCTCTGTTTGGCTTACATGAATATTTTCTGTGGAACCTACTCTCAAGTCTGTGCTGTGTGCTATGTACCATGGAAGTTGGCCCTCCATGAGCATTTAGAGATCTGGAAGAAAAACTTAGTTTGTGGTATCTTAATTGGAACTATTTGTTGTACATCGTTTCCAAGCCAAATATAGTACTCAAGATCAATAAAGAGGCCAAAATTTTAGCTATTTCATCTGCAAGGTGAGATCTGTTCTGTACCATATTCCTAGATACATGTTTTTAGTAATCTGAACATAAACATTGGCCAGGAAGGGCTAAACTAAAAGTTTTAAATGTACTATTTTATCAAACTTGTCTTATAAGCTCAAAGTATAGAGTTGTCCTATTATAGGAAGTGGGAAGCACAAGAGGAAAGAAAAGTAACTCATAGGAGTATAAAAATGAGGGTCCTTGGCGTCCCTTTTTACCCTCGTGTGACCTACGGGTTTCTGGGCAAGGCATTCTTCGTCCCCCCGGAGGCAAGGGTGTAGCTGGAGGTAGACCGTCTCGCAGGGCTTCCTTTTGGTCCCAGTGGCCATGCTCCTGCCATGCTCCTTTGTAAATGATGAGAGGATGCTTCTATCATCTTCCCTGCCTAATCCCTGAAATTGGAAATCTCATGTGGAGTGATGACTCTAGCACAAACACATTCATTTATCATAGTCTGCTTAGATGCATGTATTCCCCCGTGAGAGAAGACATGCTATTTGTGAAGTAACAACTGTTAGGCTGCTAGCAAACTTGTTGATGGCATAAAATCCAGAAGACCGTGGGATAATACCTTCAAAGCTGAGGAAGATAATTATCAGCCTAGAATTTTATGTACAGCTAAGCCATAACATGGGGGGTAAAACTGGGAGGCAGTATTTTCAGAGCTACAAAATGAAAGATAATTGAATTATTAAAGGATGTATTCCCGGGGCACCTGACTTGTTCAGTCAGTAGAGCATGCAGCTCTCGATCTTGAGGCCATGAGTTCAAGCCCCATGTTGGGCATAGAGCTCATACTGAAAAAAGAAAGACATATGTATGTATGTATTTCTTCCAGGAGGACAGAAAAGACTACCAGGAGGAAGGTGTGGGACATAAGAAACATGGCCAACATAGAAATTAATAAAATATATGGGTACATTTAAGTGTTTTATGGATTATCTAGCTAAGAGTTATTTCAAGAAAACCCCATAAGGTTCTTACCCCATCTGACAGATGAAGAAACTGAGGTAAGAGAGGTTAAGTAACTTGTTCACCATCACTTAGCTAGTGAGGGGCAGAGTCAAGATTTGGAGCGAAGCCATCTAGAGTTAGTGTCCTGGGCTCCAGTGCCTTGCCATAGGCAGGCGGTGATTTCCCTTCCCTAGGCTCTTATCCCTTCGGCTAGAGAGTGCAGGAGCCCTGAAGGTGGGGGGCGGGGGTTAGTTGTTCTTGTGTCCTTCAAGCCATTACACCAGTGGACACAGCAAAAGCTCAACAAAAGCAGACGAAACGGAGCAGGAATCTTCGTCTCTAGGTCAGTTTGGTCAGAAAGGTTGTGTGATAACGGACGGCGATGATTTCTAATGGTGTTTTCCCCATGTCATTGACCATTCCAGGCAAAATGATGGTCATGATAACAATGATGACAAAAATGATGGAATCTCTCTAAAGCATAAAAAGAGAAGGAACCACACTGAAAATTCTGCCAATGCCTTTGTAAAGTGAGACTGGTCCATCCTACCACTTACACCCTTAGGTTTTGATTATAGGGCTTTCTAATTAAATTTCTTATGGACCAGGTTTTCATAAAGTGTATTTCCATAGACGGAGAGTAAAAAGGAAGGAGAGTAACATCTCCTCACCCTATTTCTAAAAGAACATAAATAGATGTATTACAAAAGAATAAAGCTACCAGATCCTAAGAATGTAAATCAAAGGATATATTAAGGGCTATGCAACCTCACAATTATTTTTTTTTTAATTACTTGCCCTGAAAAATTTTCAAGACTAGTCATTTGGATGACTAGATCCAGACCATCACGGAATCATTGGAGATGACCTTTCAGGCCAGAAGAGCCTCTGAACGTCTCTCAAAATGTATGAAATGGCTACTGGGCCAATGCAGAGGATAATTGTCCCTTTTCTAGTTTAAGGGAAACAAAATCAAGCATTTTCAATGCCATGTATTAGCCTACTCAGGTTGCACTCATAATACGCTAAAGCAGAAAACTTTCCCAAAAAATGCGGGTAAGCCTGGATTTATTCACAGACAGCATTCCAAAATCCAAGTCAGTTTGGAAATTGGAAAGCAAATGGCTGTAAGTACCCATATGCCTGAGCAGACTGGGGTCCCTCGTCTCCCACGTTAAGTCATCCTCTGGGGGGTCAGGAACTTAAGCGACACCAGTGGGTTGGCGAGCATACAGAATTCCCCTACATCCAAATCAAAATCATTTTGCCACATACTATTATATAGTAGGTTTTATTTCCAGTATACTTTCTTTTTTTGCATTAATTCTGCTTAAGTTACAATCTTCTAATTTACTTTTACCCTTGAGGTTTTAAACTTTTTAGAATGGAAAAAAATCTCAAAAAGTCTTAAAAAGTACAAAGAACACTAAGATACCCATTATTCAACGATTTTTAACTCATGACCAATCTCATGTCTGCCCCTGCCTGCTTCCTATAGTATTTTGAAGCAAATCCTAGGCATCCCATCTTTTATGCATAAATATTAGTGCTTTTAAATACGTGTGTGTATAATCTAACCTTACTTATATACCTAAAAAATGGATAATTGTCTAAAGATGTCAAAATTTGTTGCAATCTTTTTTGAATGAAGACCCAAATAAGATAACTATTACGATAGGCTGATAAGCATCGTAAATGTCTTCAGTCCGCTGTAGCAGTTTTCAAACTAGAGCATGTCGGAATCCCTACAAGCCTTATTAAAACAGAGTTTCTGATTCTAAGTCTGGGGTCGAGCTTAGTAATTTGCACTTCTGATGAATGCAAGGTGATGCTCATGCTGTCGGGTTTGGAGCCCACTCACATTTTAGCTCCCCACTCTCTCATTTTCCCCTTGCAATTTATTTATTGAAGAAACTGAGCTGTTTACCCTGTAGAGTTTCCCTCAGTTTGGGTTTTGCTGATCGTATCCTGTTTATTCTTGCCTGCACTTGTCGATGGGGAGAGAACACTGTGTGTGGATGTCATTGGGCTCAGGTCCTTGTCACTGTCCCCTGAGTTCCCCTGCAGCAGCCTCCCAGGCTGGCTTCCTTACTCTGGCCCGTCGCCCATCCTGTCATGAGAATTCTTTCTCAACTGTAAGTCCAGCTGTGTTGCTTCGCCAAGGAAAGTGGTCCAGTGGCTCCCAGGAGTGTCTGAGTAAGGGTTTTGGCACCAGTCTGGATCTCTAGTCCATTCCAGTCTGGATCTCTGGTCCCCGCTCTCACCCCGATAAACCTAGGCTCCAGTCAAGCAGAATTTATCTTGAGAATATATTTTCACAGTCTTTTTGGACATCATTACCCTTGTTTTCTCTGCCTAGAATGTTCTCCTATTCCCTTCTAGACGCTGCTCAAGCATCCTCTCCTAAGTTTGCTTTGACTGTTAGACGGCCGGTTCTTTCCCCTCTCTGTGTCTCTGTTTGTGTTTTTCATATATGAATCACTTATTAAAAATGGGCAAGTGTCTTAACTCTAAGTCTCAACTGCCTCATCTGGAAAATGGGGTTACTATACTCTAGTCAAAGCTCCCTTATCCAACCTCCTCTTATGCAAGTCTTCCCCGCATCCTCTCTGTTCTGCGAATGCTGACTGGTGCACACAGCATGTCAGATGCTCTTAGCCATGCTTATGCACTTGAGCCCCCACCTGGGAACTGTGGAACGTTATTTGTTTTGTTAATTTTAGTCACGCAAATTGACGAGATCTGCAAATTCATAAAACAGGAATGCAAAAAGAATTGCATCTATGAAAATGGTTTGGAATGACTCAATAAAAGCAAGTTGCTAAACATAATTGCTCTGACTTATTTGTGGGTGAAATAACAAAGACTGAAAAAGTAATAATTTAGGAAGATTCAGCCCTTCTACCCTTTCTCAGGGTTTCAGTTCATATCCCACATCAAGGAAACCAAAACTGGACATCAGAGGCGATACGTTTGATTTTAAAACATTTTATCTTTGGAAAGCATCCACCATAAAACGTTGGATTTTTGTCATTTCAAGTTCTGTTTGAATTCTTAAAATTTTTAAAAACCCTGAGTTGCAAATGTTTGGTTCTTTTGTATTACTGCTAAAAAGTATGCATGGAAAACAAAATAAAGATAATTCTTTGGAGTAAATGAGCCAGTCATGCATGATCAAAACAAAACCAAAACCCCACAAAAAACCCCAAACTAAACTAGTGGGACTCCAAACGATAGGCCCATACTCAAGGAGAAGGCCTGGCCCTACATAAAAAGTGATAGGGTATATATTTGTATGTTTTAAGTTACGTGTCTAAAGTATATAAAATATTTTTGTGTATGTGATTCTACTCTGTAATTGACCTTTTAGGTCAGAGCAGCTCAGCAGCACCCTGTCATGTGCAGGGATTAACAACACGGAGAATCCTCTAGAAGGATGAGCAGCACTCATGATTGTAATGCATATCGCGATGGAAGGAAGTAGCTGCACAGAGAGAAAGGAACCATTGATTGTCTCTGGCCAGGATTTTGGGTACTGGTCAGCAAAAGTCAGCAAAAACCCTTGCCTTCAAGGAGCATAAAGTGTAGATGGGGCAGTATTTGAGTAAATCAACAGAGTTTGCTAAGTAGAGAGGAACCCTGTGCTCTAGGAGCAGAGAGGAGGATGTCTAACAGATCCAAGAATGGCTTCCTGGGGGTCCAAGTGTGGAATTCTGAAGTTGGCAGAGAAGAAGCTGCAAGAAAAGCATCGGAGACAGAATAACGTGGAATAATGTTCAAAAAAGGAAGCAGGCAGGAAACAGGAGGTCGTTGAGGATGACTGGATCATTAGGGAGAAATGACAAGCCGTGTGGCCTCTCCATGATCAGGTAAGGGATACAGTTTGACATGCCCAAGAAGCCAGTCTTCACAAGCAGAGAACCGGCGTAATCAGATGCACATTTTAAGATCACTCTGGTGGCAGGGTTGACACAGATTAGAGAAGGCAAGCCTTCAGACCGGCTAGGAAGCCAACCATTCGTCACATAC